TACTCGTTCGGCGTCGTCCTCTCGGAGCTCGACACGTGGCAAGTGCCATACGCCACCGCATCCTCTTCGCAGCCCATGTCGGCGGTGCAGATGGCGCTGCTCGTCTCAACCGGGAAGCTCACGCCGACCTTCCGCGACGACTGCCCGTCAGACATCTTGGCGCTGGCCAAGGCATGTCTGGCCATGGACCCTGACGATCGACCGACGGCGGCGCACGTGGCCTACGCGCTGCGCAAGCTTATCCGTGCAACAGAGTAGACCCACTATTCGAGTTGTGAACTATATAACGTTAGAAAGAGCAAAGTTAGCACGCGTCTTCCTGCATCGACGCGTAGTGGTCGCCCCCGGCCGTCGTTGCTTGGCTTGCAGGTTTCACGGGCTTGAACATGCGCTGGGCCTGGGCAAACGTGAACTCCGTCTTGAGGCCGCTGCCCGAGCGCAGTGCGGGCTGGACGTACATGCTGTTGTCGCGGTGCTGCTCGGCTGGCGCGCGCACGAACTGGCTGCTCGTGCGCACCGAGTCGATGCGGTAGCAGTCGACGAGCGGAAGGAACGTCGACGCGCGCGGGTACAAGGCCCGAACCCGGTGGTCGACCACGTACGTCAAGAGCGGAAGAAACGTCACGACGATCGACGGCGCCATCGCAAACCAGTACGCGTACTGCTCGAAGACCGACACGCTCGTCTTGGGTCCGCTGCGCACCTCGACGCGGTTGGTCCACGCGTCCGAGACCTTGACCCACATGAGCGCGATCAGAATGAGCTGCGCCATGTACCTACCACCGCCATCAGATCGTAGTTCTCAAGGAGGAAGAGAGTACAGGGCGCGGACGATGCACGTGTACATGGATGGCCAGTAGACGCCGGTCGTGAACCGGCCGGGTGCGTAGACGAAGAAGAAGAGCCGGCGGTACACCACGTCCGAGACGAGGAACAAGAGCCCGCCAAAGTACCCGACGAGCGGCGTCATGGGGCAAAACACGAGCACGAGCAGCAAGACCAGAAAGTACGACGGCAGAATCGTGCTTTGGCTGCACGTCTCGATCGCCGACATGGGCGCCAGCCACTTCCAGGGCGACCGGCGTTCGCGGGGCGTCACGTGCGGCGCAAAGACGTGGTAGAGGAAGCCGCGCAGGAACGACCCGACGCGGAAGAGCTTGCAGGGCAGCACGAGGCCCGTGAGGATCGCCATGATCGAAATGTACAAGGACGCTTGCAGCGACAGCGCTTCGCTAAAGATCGTCACAAAGAGGTACGGCGAGTCGATGAGCACCGGTAAGAGCGAGTTGAGCGAGCCCGAGAGGAGCGCGACGACAAACGTCTGGACAAACTGAAAGGTCACGAGCTTGGAAAAGGTCGACGCGTCCACTTCGGTCTGCGAGGCCAAGCCTTCGCGCCGCGAGAGCGCGCCAAACACATATGGCGCGAGGCCGCTGAGGGCCACAAGCCCGAGCGGCGCCATCTGCTTGCAAAAGTCGACCAGCCACGGGTGGTCGTGCAACGTCTGGTCCACCGACGTATACTGGTCGCGCCACTGGTCCATCGCCCCGAGCGTCGTCGCAAGGACCGTCGGGACCGACCAGAGCACGATGATCACCAAGGTGGCGAGCGTCGATGCGAGCTGCCACGAGCTAAGGCTGTTGAGCGTCCGGCCAAGGTTGTCCCAGAGAATGTCGGCCGGGTCCGGCGCCGGCCGCACGAGCATCTCGGACGGCGTGTCGGTTTGCAGCATTTGCAGCGCGCTCTGCGTTGCCTGAAGGGTGTTGAACGTCACAAAGGCCGACGGGCGCATGAACGACAGCATGGTTGTGATCGGGATCGGGTCGAACTCTGGCGCCTTGTCGTCGTCGTCCTCGTTCGAGTCGTGCATGGACGAGACACACAGCGCGTCTTCGAGACTATCCTCGTTCATGACCTCGTGCAGCTTGGCCTGGTAGCCGCGTAGCGTCTCAATCTCTGTGCGAATACTAATGTTGAGCTTCTCGAGGAGCTGGGAAAAATGGTCGATCGCGTCGACTTGGCCCCGCTTGAAGGACGTCGTGGGTCGATGGCCAGTCTGGACGGCGGTCACCATTGCACGCTCGAGGTCACCGCGGACGCGCTCGCGCTTGGCAACCTGCGCTTCGAGCTCCCGACACTCCATCGCCATGTGCACCGAGTCCACCATGGTCGGGAAGAGCTTGTGGAGGTACTTGGTGAGCGCCTCGTGCGTGCGCAGCTGCGGCGGAAGGTCGTTCATGATGACCGTGTACTGCTGGAGCCCGTCGCGGCCGAGGAATTCGTGGCGCCGAGACACGTACACCTTGTACTCGGCCACGAGCAATCGAAGCGTGTAGATGGTGATGACGAAGCCGGCAGCGACCGGCGCCCAGAGGCGGTTCGGGTCCAAGCTCACGTTCATGTTGGCCATGGCCAGGCGCGCGGCCACGTCCTGCGCGCTCGTCACGTTGAGCGCCTCGCCGTCGGGTCGGACGGCGGTGGCATAGATGGGCATGAGCCCGAACGAGAGCAGGATCGAGGCGCCGGCAATGTTGCGGCCAAGGCGCAGGAAGCGAAGGTAGCAGAGCGCGTCGAGGCCGCAGAACTCCATGATCTCGTCGTCTGTCGCGCGCAGCACTGGCGCGATCCAACCGCCAAAGTCATAGACCGTCTCCGCCAGCGGGCACGAGGCCTTGGGGTCCGTCGCCCGGCAGTTGAAGTAGACGAGCAGGCGCGGCCGCAGCAGCTCAAAGGCCACGAAGCCAAGCACGAGGAGCGACAAGTAGATCTCGATCGAGAGCAAGATGGCCGCGTCCGGGTCCGTGTCGACGTGGTGGGCGTGGGGGCTGGCCATGGTTGTGTTCTGTCAAGCAACGTTTGGCATCCGGACGTTACACACACTCCGTCAGCCAACATCACGAGGTCCGGATAAACCTCCCGAACTGTATTACGAGCGGTATCATATATAAGAGGTTCCTCAAAAGCTGGGACGAAGCAGGTTGAAGTCGTGCAGCACCATCTCCGCCCAAGTGGATGGGGCGATGGTGTCGGCGTACGTGGCGCTCGCTGCGTCTCGCCCCAATAGACCTTGGGCGCCCGAAAAGCGGCGCTCGAGTGGTATTGAACTGGCGGCCTTCTCACACCCCTGGCTCGGGGTGAGGTGAATGTCACCCAAGCCCCATATTGCCGTTCGATCAAGGTGTTTTGATGATGGAGAGTCCAAGCAATGGTGGTGGCTGTCAACGGCGCCTCCTGTGTTGCGTGCACGAAGCATGGCACCAACACACAGACAAGCAAGGGGCGGTGTCAGGCGACTTTGTGTAGCGGGCGCCATCCAAGCAAGCTGGTGCAGCTTCTGAGTTGCGCGACCAACGCAGGCGTAATGACGCACGGCGTCGGTTTTAGCTCCCAGTCGAGATGCCCACGCCGCTTCTTTACAATCAACCGCCAATGGTTCCGCTTGGCACAAAAGCGACAGCAGATCGGCTACCGCCTCACTTTCTCTGCGGCCGCGCTGCCACGTGTCCTGTTCTTCGTTCGTGCGTTGTCCTTCAAGCGTACCAACACCTGCAACGTGTGGCTATTCCCAAGAAAATTGGCGACAACCTGCATAGCAATGAATGGGTTTTGGGTTGCCACCACGGGCGTCTCGATCGTTCCGGCGCGCGGATTTGCCCTTGAATCGTTCTCACGTCGAAGTTCTCGCATCTGACGCTAGTAGCCGCGAGGTTTTTCCGCGGAAAATGCCACAAATTTCGTCCCATTCACGGGCTCGAACTGGCGCTGCATGAAAGCGGTCGTCAGCGCCGCAGTCCAAGTCCCGCCATGACCATCCATCCAATACAGCGACGACTGGCGATTGCGGCGGATGACGCTCTTGCGTAGTTGGCGCCAACTTCGATCCGGTGCTTCTTCGGGGCCTTGGTCGCATACAACGTCTGCTACCTGGGTACGATGCACTTGATACACGCTCGAATCTGCAAGGCAATGGCTCGTGCTCGGCATCCATGGAAGGGCACCTGTAGCGCGCCTGCATCACGCACCGCCTTCTCGATCTCGCGCTTCTTTCGCCATCTTCTCGCCACGTGGACTGTTGGCATAGACGCTGCCTCGCATTACACTGCACGTCGGATCCTCCCAACCCGCGAGCGTTGTCGTCGGTCGTGGCAGCCCCATCGACGAGCGGTAAACACACCAAATTTACACTGTATTTCCACCGTATCTCGTCGCGTTGGGAGTTCATATCGTATAGCGTGGCGAGGCGCAAGGCCGGGGTGCTACTGCTGTCGGCGTCTGTGCAGAGGTAGCCAAGCAAGGCCGCCTTGTTTTTGCTGCGGCGACTGCGGCGCGAAGCGGCCACAAAAAAGGCGGCCGACCAAGATACTTCGAACTTCGGTTTGCACACCCACGAACTGGCCCGACGCGCCGCCAGCCCATGTGTCATTCTCAATCTCTTCCTCCGCTCCCGCATGGCGACGACGACGCTGCTCAAGCTCACGACCAAAGGCCACCATGGCCTGTATACACTCGAGGCCAAGAAGCCGCGGAGCCCGTCGGCGAAAGCGGCGGCGAACCTCGGCGACAAGGACGACGCGCTGCGCATTACTGCCGTGGTCGGGCGGTGTGTATCATCGAGACAGAAGGCCCGGCTGGTGCTGCGACCCAAGCCACTGATCATGGCCCCACCCCACGACGACCATTGCGTTACTCGCCCCCAATCACCCATCTTGGTGCCCTCGACCATGTCGCTCTCGCCACTCCCGCCCAAGCAGCGCCGACCCTCGACGGCGGATGGTACGAGCACGCGCCACCGACTTGCGCGCTCATGGCTACGCCTTCTTCTAGATGACCTCCAGTGCCAGGACAACAGCCCCGAAGACTGCCCCGAACTCACCGTGACGCCCAACGAAGCCTACAACCGGCTCCTCAAGCAGTTCGAGGCGTGCACCGCCGCCCTTGCCGACGCGCAGACGCAGCTGACGGCCAAAGACGAAACGATCACGGCGCTGCAGACGTCGCAGGCGGCGTCCGAGGCGGCGGTCACGCGCCTCGAAGCCGAGACGCAGCAGCTCCACGCCAAGTACCAATGCGAGGCCAAACTGCGCATGCAGATCCTTCTCGAGCACTCGAAGCTGCAGCTGCGCTGGCAAGAGGCGCAGGCCAAGGCGATCGAGCTCGACGCGGTCAAGACGGAGCTTGCGGCGCAGGAGAAGCGCTTCCAGGAGAAGCTCGAGCACGAGAAGCGCGTCGGTCGCATCGAGCTCAAGGCTGCGCACAGCAAGATCAACTCGCTGCACCAAACCATCCTCGAGATGGAGTACGAGAGCGTCCGGAAGGAGCAGACCAAGCACGACGGCCCAAGCCAGAGCGCGCAGTCGCGCCACATCCAGCAGGAGCTCATGGGTCTCCAGCGCCAGCGCTGTGTCTCGCAGAGCAAGTGGCTCTTCGAGGGCGACCACGAGCACGACCACGCCGAGTCGCCACGCCGGGCCAAGGCGGAAGCCAAGCCCAAGAAGCGCGACGAAGTCAACTACCTCTTTGACATTGCCGAGCAGCTGCTCATCTTCTCCAAGGACAGCCATCTCAACGCGCTCACGACCCTCGAGGGGTTCGAGGAGGCGCTCGAGAAGAAGAAGGCGACTGGCAGCGACGCCACCACCACCCTGTCGTCCCACGCCGCCGCCTTTGACCTCGCTGCGTGCGAAGCAATAGCCGACGAGGCCGAAGCGCTTCTCGCGCAGTATTTATTTCAGCTCCCGTAACCTAATCCACCACCTACATGTTGTCCTCGTCGCGGTTAAACTCGGCGTAGAGGCCGACGAGGCTGCTGCTGTCGGACGCGTGTCCCTCCGCTTGGGATCCGAGCTCGGCGTAGTCGGCCCGCAGCGGCGCCCGCGCCAGTAGCGCCGGCTGCACATACGTCGTCGGTGGAAACGTCGCGCCCGGCGATCGCAGCACATCGAGGCGGCAGCACTCGAGAAGCGGGAGGTTCGCTGCCGTGCGCGGGTACAAGGCGGCGACGTGGAAATGGAAGAGCAGTGTGAGCACGGGCAGCACGAGCGCCGCGGTGGCCGGCCCCGGCGCCTGCTTGAGCGAGAGCACGCCGAGGAGCGTGCATTGCGCTACGACGAGCGCGGTGATGACAAAGCTGTACAAATGCGGCCAGTACGCGCCCGTCGTGTGCACGTTGGGGTCGTACACGAAGAGCAGTTGGCGCCGGTAGACGACGTCGCTGAGCGCAAAGAAGAGCGCGCCAAAGTAGGCCATGAGCGGCGACATGGGCGAGAAGGTCAACGTGAGCAGCACAGCTTGGTAGTAGTCGGGCAAGAGCATCGAGTACTGCAGCTCGCCGGGCTCATTGAGCGGGCGAAGGCCGTACCATGGCATGGACCGCTCGCGCTTCGTGAGCTGCGGCGCGCAGACCAGGTAGACGCGCGAGAGAAGGTACGGGACGACGCGGAGGAGCTCGAGCGAGAGGCTGAGGCCGGTCTTGATGATGAGGAAGCTCATGAACGACGAGGCTTGGGCGGGAATGCTGCGTCCGAGGAGGTTGATGATGCTCGATGGACTGTCGAGGATCGCGCGGATGTTGTCGACGATCGTCAGGAACGAGCCAAAGAAGACCGAGACGAAGAAGATCTGGATGAACTGAAAGTACCCGAGCTTGACAAAGATGGACGCGTCGACCGACGCCGTGGACGCATGGCCTTCGCGGCGCGAGAGAAGCGAGAAGACGACCGGCGCAATCGCCGTCATGGCCACGAGCCCGAGCGGCGCGAGCTGCTGGAAGACACTGAGGATCCAGCCGTGCTCGGCGAACGCGTCGTCGAGCGACGGCCAGACCTGCCGGAGGTTCTCAACCTTGGCAAAGGACGCGACGACCGCCGTTGGAATCGTCCAGAACACCACGATCGCCGTCGTCAGGAGCACGGACACGTACTGCCACGTACTGCGCACCTTGCGCGAGACGCCAATGTTCTCCCAGACCACGTCGGCGGGCGCCGGCGCGGCTTCAACGAGCATTGTCGTCGGCGTCTCGGTCTGGAGCAGCTGCTGCGCAATGTGCGCGCTCTGCAGCGACGAGAACGTCACGAAGGCCGAGTGCCGCATGATCTTGAGCAGCGACCGCGTCTGCTTACTCGACTGCGACGGCTGCGTCCACTCGGCGTGGTACTCGATCAAGCTCTCCCGCAGATCATTGTCATGACGCTCGTCTTCCTCGTCTACTGACAGTCAAATGACAAAGCGCTTGGTGGAGGCGTACCGTAGTGGTGGTCCGAGACGCACGCCGCGTCATTGAGCGTCTCGTCCGTCATGGCCGCGTGCAAAACGCGCTGCTTGTCCTCGATCGTCTCAATCTCAATCGGAATCACGTCGTTGCGGCTCTTGAGTTTGCGCTCAAAGTACTCGATCGCGTCGACGGCCGTGCCCCGCGTCTTGACAATGTGCAGTGGCCGGTCGCCGCTCCGCGCGCTCTCTGCGAGGGCGTGCTCGAGCTTCATGCGAAAGTGGTCGCGGGACGCCACGAGGCCTTCGAGGTGGCCGCACTCGACGGAGAGCACGACGGCTTGCAGCGACGTCGGGAAGAGATACTTGAGGTACTTGGTCAACGCCTCGCGCGTCCGGAGCGTCCGCGGCAGGTCGTTGATGACCACCGAGTACTGCTGCACATCCAGCTTGCTCAAGAAGGCGTGGCGCCGGCGGACAAACGCCTTGTACTCGGCCAAGAGCAAGTGCATCGTGTAGAGAGAGAGCACGTACATGCTCAGGAGCGACGCCCTACGCCATCGATCGGTACAAGCCAAGAAGAACGGAGCTAGTACCAGAGACGCGGGTCGCCGGGTCTCAGACCCGTGATGCCTTCGCGGTCGAGGAGGTCCAGAGTCGACGATGTCCAGTCGGCGGTGGCGTAGACGGGAAGCAGCACGATTGAGAGGAGGATCCCGCACGTCGCGAGCTTGCGCCCGAGCCGCAGAAAGCGCAGCAGCACGAGCGCGTCAAGGCCGCAGAGCTCGACGATCGCGTCGTCCGAGACCTTGGCCACCGGCACGACCCACTCGAGAAACCCAAACGACTCGCTCGCCAGCGACGTTGCCAAATGGCCGGCGCGCCGGCGGCAGGCAAATGCGACTGGGTGCCGGCGCCGGAGCAGCTCCAAGGCGCCGACGCTGACGACAAGAATCGGCAGGTAGATCTTCATGCTCGTGACAATCGCGCGGCTCGGCGACGTCGCCTCGTCACCGCTGCCCGACGACATGCGGCCTTTCCGAAACCGTATCCCCTACCCCTTGCCCGCATATCCACAAGACAAGTTTCAATGTATCAGTTTGAAAAAACACTTGATGTACACGGGTTAGCTACGAGAGCGCGGGAGTCGTGGCAAGCTTGGTCAGGCTACAGCTAGATGTGGAACCCAAACTTCTTGGCTTCAGCGTCAGATGGCTCACCTTGGTGCACCTTGGACTTGGCCACGCCCACCTCGACCACGTCGGCGTCGTCGCGCGTCTGGAGCTCCATGTAGTCGGGCTTGATCGGCTCCGACTCGTCGAGGGCCGGCTGGATGAACGCTCCAGACATGTCCACCTGCGGGCGGTTGGCGCGGGCCTTGTCGAGGCGGGCGCACGACAGCAGTGGCAGGTTGAGCGCCGGGCGCGGGTACAGCTGCTGCACGTAGATATGATACAGCACCGACGTGAACGGAAGGACGGTCGCGGCGACGATCGGGCCGGGGCTGACCTTGAGCGTCATGAGCCCGAGGAACGTGATTTGCGCGAGGACGACGGCGCCCACGAGGAACGTGTGCAGCTGCGGCCAGTACGCGCCATTCGAGTGCGGCGACGGCGAGTAGACGTACAGCACCTGCCGGCGGTACACGAGCTCCGCGAGGCCAAAGTAGAGCAGGGCAAAGTACGAGAGAAGCGGCGCGATGGCGCTAAAGGTCACCGTCAGGAGGATGCCGAGGAGGTAGTCGGCAACCGCGCCGCCGCCGTCAAAGTCGCCGGCGATCGTGACGGGCACGAGCCCGAAGAACGGACTTGCGCGCTCGCGGGCCGTGAGTTTGGGCGCAAACGTGTTGTAGACAAAGCCGAGGATCCACGGCATGACGCGGAGCAGCTCCAAGCTCAGGTCGAGGCCCGTCTTGACGATGAGGTACGACATGAAGAGCGTCGACTGCGCCGGAATCGTCGAGCCGAGGAGCGACACGAGGAGGCTTGGGTCCTTGAGCACAAGCGTGACGCTCGAGACGAGCGAGCCCGCAATCACCGACACAAAGAACGTCTGGAACATCTGAAAGTACACGAGCTTGGCGAATGTCGAGGCGCGGACGAGCGCGCCGGACGGATGGCCTTCGCGCTTGGACATGATCGTCATGATGATGGGTGCGAGCGCGCCCATGACGGCAAGACCGATGGGCGAGAGCTGCTTGAAAAACTCTGTGAGCCACGGGTGCTTGGTGAGGAGGTCCTTGATCGACGGGTACTTCTCCTCGAGCGTCTCGATCGTCGAGAACGCCACGACAATCGTGGTCGGGATCGTCCAAAACAAGATAATGGCCGTCGAAATCACCTAAACAGCATTGAAATTGCGTGAAAAATAGGACAAATACCGTCGAAATGAAGCGCCACGAGTCCTTCTCCTGGCGCGTGCGACCAATGTTCTCCCAGCAAATGTCGTCCGGGAACGGCGCGGCCGCGACTTCCATCTCAAAGATCTTCTCCGTCTGCAGCATCTGCTGGCACGTCTGCGCGGTTTGGAGCGACCGAAAGGTCACAAACGCAGACCGACGCATGATCGACTTTTCAACGGCCTTGGCGTTCTTGGCCGGCGCGTCCTGGGCGACGGCGAACGCCGCCTTCTCGTAGCCCTCGACGAGGAGCTTGTCGCGCACCTCGTGCTGCGCATCCAGAATCTTCGTGTACTCTTCCTTGACCGCCATGTTGAGCGTCGCGAGCTGCTCCGTAAAGTAGTCGATCGCGTCGACCGACTGCATCGGCGCCTTCTTGATCGAGAGGTCCTTCACACGGTACGTTGGCCGCTCACCCGTCTTGGCGGAGAGCGCCATGTAGTGCTCGAGGTCGTTCCGCGCCTTGACGCGCTTCGCGACGAGGCTCTCGAGGTCGCCGCACTCGACCGCGACCGAGACCGCGAGCACATCGTCCGGGAAGAGGTAGTCCATGTAGTATTTGAGCGTCTCGTTGGTGCGCAGGCTCGGCGGCAGGTCGTGGATGACCACCTACATCATGGCTCAGTGTCGAGAAAGAAGATGGAGGGATGTACCGTGTACTGCTGCGGGTCGTCGCGGCTGAGGTACTCGTGGCGACGCATGATATAGTATCGGTACTCGGCCGAGAAGAGGTAGAGCGCGTAGAACGACATGGCGTACATGGCCACGATGCTCGCCCAGAGCCGCGCCTCGCCCTTGTCCAAGTTGGACATGGTGATGCGCTCGAGCACGTCAATATCGGTGCGGTTGCCACGCGGGAACTCGGCGGGGTTCGTCCCCGTGGCGTAGACGGGGAAGAGCATCGCGCTGAGAAAGATGCCAAAGGCTGCGAGCTTCCGGCCCATGGCCAGCACGCGCAGAAAGATGAGCGTGTCGAGGCCGCAAAACTCCATAATGTCGTCGTCGCCCGTGCGCCACGCGGGTAGGATCCAGCCAAAGAGCGTCATCGAGTCGGGCACGGGCGACGCCGTCTCGAGGCTCTGGTTGCGGCAGGCGTACACGTGCTGCAGCCGGCGCTGGAGGTTGAGGAAGACCATCCAGGCAATGGCGGCGATGACAAAGTAGAGGCTCATGGACGTCTGCAGCGTCGCCGACGGGTGGATGTCGGGCGCCGGCGCGCTCGTGTTGAGCTCGGCCATGCTGATCCTGCTTGCTGCTAAACGGCGATTGGCACCGAATCGGGATCTCGCCAACGGTAATTACAACAGAATCCGGATCCATCCGGATAATCCCCGCGGCCGTGAGTATCGCTTCCGCCGCAGCATCTGCCGGCCTGTCGCGGTCGCTGGCTCTGGCTTCGATGCTGCATCGCTCGCGTCTCCTACTCCTTGCGGTGCACTGGGCTCGAAGGTAGCTTATTGGGGCGTCTTCCAGTTCTTAGTTCATGCATGGGCAGCTCGTACACGGTACGAACGCGGCTGATAACGTCGCCAGCACGGAAAAGAGTGTCGAGAAGAGTTGTCGGTGGCAGCAGCAGCTTGTGCCATCTTTCTCGCAGTGTCCCATGGCTCGCATAGCTGCTGCTTGCAGTGCTCTCGAAGGCGTGCACTCGGTGTGTCAGCTTCAGGTACAGAGCAATGGACGGAAGACACGCGTTCGAAAGTACTAGTAGCTACTTGTCGACGTCGGCGCGTGCGCTTAGAGCCGTCCGTTCAGCAACGTCCAAGTCCTTCTGTCCACCGCATGGCGCGACTGCCGTAGCGTCGCATGACAGTGTGATCCGCGTGGAGTCATCCCGCATGCGAGGTGGTTGGACGAGCGAATTCACTCCTTTTTTCACGCGGAAGCGCGATTCGGTTGATGCTGATGCTCGTCTCTCGTAGCTAGGATGCATAAAGGCTTGCATAGGCCATATTGGAGATGGTTGGTGACGAGCTCGTCTACTGCTACCAAGCAGCTCTTGGCGCTCTCTGAGCCTCAACAGGCAACGCGCCAGCGCCACTGCAAGTCTTTAGCACAGCTACGCTATCGGTGCAGGCCAGGCTTGAACAGAACAGTGAGGAAATGACTGCAGCGACGTTCGTTGAGGTTCTCTGCATCTGTGCCCTCGAGTGGCCAGTGGTCCTGGCTTTCCCATCACTGCAACGACTGAACCGAAAAGATGCCAGAGGTTCCGGTATGCTCGCCGCGGCAACTCCCTTGCACGTTTAGTTAGTTAGTTGCTGCAGGGCTCTTCACACACACACTGTAAGAAGGTAAAAAGATGCTGCGAGGCACCTCTCAAGGGTTCAGTCGGAGAGGATCGGCGGTACTTGGTCGGAGTTCAAGCTGCCTTTCTCAGCCGCGTTTATACTACCATTTGGCTACCACATACAAAAATCCTGTCAATGTTGTCGCCAGCGTCATTTTAATACGAGGTAACCGTATTTGATTCCATCTCCATACCAAATACAAGTGATAGAAAAAAGAATCAAAATAAATTGGTTTAAAATAGCTCCTACCAGTGAATCGGTCATTTGGCGCTTGCCGGGCTGACCGACCATGTCCCTCGGCAACATGGACGCGTTCCTCTTCGAAGACGGCTGCATGGACGACAGCCTCGCGCTCGGGCTCATCAAGGACGACGACCTCGACCGCGTCTTCCTCGACGCCAAGGACGTCCTCGACCTCCCGCCCGCGACCAAGCGCAAGATCGACGAGACCGAGCCCGACAAGGAGACGGCGCGGAAGAACGCCAAGCGCGAGGCCTACAAGAAGCACATCCGCAAGCGCCAGAACGAGCACGCGGACCTCAAGCAGCAGGTCCAGGAGCTCGAGGACCAGCTCCAGTTCCTCTCCAACATGAAGGCCATTGACGCTACGTTTGCCTCCAACTGGGAGAACATTGCGCGGGACCTCGCGTCGCACCGCCAAGAGTCGGCCGCCGAGAACGAAAAGCTGCGGCAAAAGGTCGCCGAGCAGAGCGAGTTCATCGAGACGCTCCAGACGCTCCTCGCCAAGCGCCCGCGCCTCGCCGTACGCGCCTGCCATATGCTCAACCTGATGCTCATGCAACCCATTGTAGGTGTTTGAGAACGACGAGTGGAAGGCCCTCCGGCTCGTGGCCGACCCGTCCAAGCGCATCCATGGCATGAACGCACTCCTGCACCGCCAGCGCCAGATGCTCACCGGCGTCTTCCTCCAGTGCGGCCTCCTCGAGCCGCACGACGACGACGTCCACAAGGTCAACGTGTGCTCGGACATCACCAAGATGCTCATCAGCGAGAGCGTCCGCTTTGTGCGCATGAACGTCCCGTACCCGGTCCTCGCCGAGGCGGCGTGGAACGTGTCGCTGGGGCGCGAGATCACGGAGAAGTGGGGCGACAACTACAAGATCTTGGAGACCATTGACGCCAACACGGTCTACGTCGAGTATGTGCCCCGCAACGGCGTCGCGGACGCGTCCGGCGTGCTCTGCGCGCGGTACCTCTACCGGCGCTACTACGAGGACAACCGGGTCGTCATTGTGTGGAAGTCCATTTTGGAAGACGAGTGCTACCCCCTCGACGAGAGCGTCATGCGCGTCCACCAGAGCGGCTGGATGGTCATCGAGGGCGACGTCAAGAACCCGACCCAGTCCCTCTACAAGCTCTTTGTGCAGCGCCACTCGCCGACGCGCGCGGGCAAGCTCATCCACCTCACGGACGTCTTCCAGTTCATCATGCCCAACATCTCGCTCGAGAAGCGCACGACGACTTACGTCACGGACTTTATCGTGCAGTCGTTCCGCGGCGTCGAGGTCGCCTTTGAGAAGGCGATCGACGTGGCCGTGCGCAAGCTCACATACCACCACCGCCACGACTTTATGCTCACGCAGGCCGAAATGTCGCTGTGAAAACGTCCTGTCCCCTGTTTTGTAAAGTAGTTTAATGTATGGCCTGCAATTTTGAAGTTGTGGACATTGACACGGTGTCCGTAGTGGACCTCGTCGCTTCAGGAGCGTGATGCACCAGGGGTTAGGGCCTCTCTTTGGTTCTACCCCAACCCTAGAACTCATCCGTATTAGTTTGCCTTTTCGTAAAATATGCGTCCACTGTTGACGGCTGCTAGAAGTTCCCACCTGGTATACAAAATCCATTTAGAGATTAAAAACGCTGTGACAGACCCAGCTGTCAACTAGGCAATGACCGCAAACATTGTCATAGCGGCCGCCGTCAGGGCGACACCTGAGACAGTGGCGCTGCTGGGCTTAGAGGGAGCCGGCGTCATCACCGAGTCCGACGTGTTCTTCGACGTGCCGTTGCCGGGCGCCGTCGTGATGGTCGCGTTGCCACCGCTCGTCGAATTGCCCGTAGCAGCACCCGGCACGAGAGGGCTACCGGCCAGCGCCTTGATGAAGGCGGGAATGCCCTCGGCTACCGGCACGCTCGTGAACGTAGAGCTTTCAATGCCGCCGACGGTGCAGGCCGGGGAAATCGCGGTGACGGTCTTCTGCATGGACGAGTAAAGGTCCTTGCACGTCTGGGTGGTCTCCAGCTTTTGGATCTGCGCAGTGGTCGGTGGCGTCCCAGTCGCCAGCAGCATGACGTCGTAGCCCGAGGCGTCCTTGCAGGCAGGAATTTGGGCGGCGAGGGGGGCCAAGGTGCCAAAAAGCGTTGGGAGAGCGCAGGGCGACGAGGCCGCCGAGGCCGAGGCCGAGGCAGCGAATGCGAGGAGGAGAGCGGATGCCTTCATGTTGTGGATAGGTAGTGTGGATCGCAGTAAGTGTGAAAGTGATTCGAGCAGAAGGATGCTTGGTGCACACCGTCCTCGAGCGTTTCAGACAGGTCGTCTTCGAACTGCGTTCGTCCTCTGGTCGTCACCTGACAACATGCGCTCTTTAGTTATTCGACAGCAATGTGTCTTGCTCACAGTCCAATACTCTCCCTCCAACGAGGTTCTCGGCTGCATTGGTGGGCGTGTTGGAACATGGGTCGGAACTCCATATAACATTCACATCCTCAAGTGTCGCTCAGGATATCTTGGTCTATTGCTTGTGCGGTCTCCGAGGACGCAGCTTCCGATGGAAGGACGCACTAGATCCACAGAAGAAGGGATGGCGATGACGCCGAACATTACAGTAGTACAGCCACAGGTATCAAGCTTATTCACTGCACTTGGACATATAAATTGTGGGATTCTCCTGTGGTCTGGAAATGCTCGACAGATTCCTAGTCAAGCCTCAGCGCCACGAAGGGCTTCAAGCCAAAAACATATGGGTAAAGATACTCCCTGACAAGATGCAACCCGGATGCGGAATCGATGATTCGGTCCTGGGAACAGGGCCTTGGCTCTCGGACGGACATTGCACGTTCAGGTCTCTGGCGTACTTCTCGGTGGGAAATGGAGAAACTGTAGTCTAGCCTGCGAATCACACACTTGTTAGTCTGGAACGCCATTTCGACACTTTTTTGGCATTGCAGCTGCACTTGTGCTGAGACCTCAAAGCCCGTTAGACCAGCTCCAAGGAAACCGACAAGAAGAAACCCGCTTCACCCATGCGCTTCGCATTTCGGTAGAGACTCGTTCGACTGCTGTTGGGTCGTTCTTGTGAAACAGGCTGTCGAGAGGCAGAGGCGAGGTTTTCTTCAACTTGGTAAAGGCTCGTGTCAGCAGATCTGGCTCGTCAGACTACCCTCTTCCTCATTCTACAACTTCCATTGTCAACAACAACCAACTCCACCAGCATGAAGACGTCGGCCATCATCCTCGCCATCGCTGCATCGGCCTCGGCTGCCTCGGAGCCTTGCGCGATCCCGTCCCTCTTGGCCACGCTTATGCCTCTCCAATCTCAAATCCCGGCCTGCACGGAGGCTTCGAGCTACAACCTCATGCAGCTTGCGACGGGCACGGCTCCGACGGCCGACCAAGTGCAAAAACTCGCCAGCTCGCAAGGCTGCAAGGATGTGTACGCTGCCTTGCAGAAGACGGTCGCCGCGATCGCCCCGCCGTGCTTGATCGGTGGTGTCGAGACCACGACGTTCACCACTGTCGCGATGAGTGACGGTATCGCCGCCTTGCTCAAGGCCCTCAGCGGTAGCCCAACGGCGCCGGGTGCGTCCACAGCTGCTCCCTCGGGAAACTCAACGAGCTCGGCCAACTCGACCATCACGGCGGCGCCTGGCAACGGCACGTCCAAAAACTTGTCCAACTCTGTGACAACGCCGGCCCCGACGAAGCCCAGCAGCGCGACTGCGACAGGTGTCGCTCTTACGGCGGCCGCCGTCACTATGCTTGCGGCCATGGCCTAGTTGTGAGCTAGAGTCTCCTCGTAACTGCGTTGATTGAAATTCATTTGCACATAACTCTAGTTCGATTAGCGGAATACGAAATGAACTGCCCATCACCCAGTTATCGGTTAGCAAGGTAGTCATCATCTCGAATTGCCTTCCAATTTTAAGTTCAGGGTTGTTGCCGCTCAAGGTTTCAATTGCGTCTAACGAGAACTCTTGGCAACGATAGCGACGTTGCCGAACGAATCCTCCTGGTGGGCAACTCGGCGTTTCGTACTGACTGATACGGAGCCGCAATTCGAGCAACATAGCCGGCTCCACTTCGCCCGGCTCGAAAAACGGAGCTGATCATTACGGCTCCAGCCGCTCAGCCGAGCCACGTGCTGGCAAGGGCCAATATCCCTTACTGACGAACCAGGAAACAAGACACGAGAGACGCTGCCTGGTTTGGATGCGAGCAGCGACGTCGTCACCATTGCACCAGAATCATCTCGCCTTCCTCGTTCTTCTCAACGCCTCGTCGCAGCGTTGGGCTATCAAACACAGCACGCAACTGCCTGTCGTCGCTCAATGGATCAAATGCATGCATGACCTTCCATTTGGCAAGAAGGGATTAGATGCATGAAGAGGCCATCGACGACGAGGAGCTTTGCGGAGCCACTGCCGTGGTGCCGCCCAAGCCACGAGGAAGATCGGGCGCCGTTCGTGGTGATATGATTGCTCAAACAAGAACTCTTTGTCGACGCCTTTTCTGCCCCCAGTTGATCGTCAAGAGCCGACGCCGTGCCCATAGCAGCATGAAGAGTAGCTGCTCGTCTTGTGCACAGAATGGTCCTATTGGTTAGCCAAATACGAGAGAAGTACCGACGTTGCACGCGCCGTGTTGCGGGCCGCGGGCCAGTTTTGATGACAAATCGGCGGCCGTGCCATTTGGCATCATTCGAAATGAAGCGATTTGATTGGCCGCAGCCTCGGCAGGCAACAAATTGCTGAGTCAATTCCACGATGGAGCCGGGAAAGGACAACAACAGCAACAGCGCGCAGGAAGAGGCCGCGCTCGAAGCCCACCTGCAGCTGCTCTCCGACATGAAGGCCGTCGACACCTCGTTCGCGCTCAACTGGGCGTCCGTCCTCTGCGGCAAGCGCAGCGCTGACGCCATGGTCGCCGACGACCACGACTTTATCGCCGAGGTCCAGGACCTCCTCGCCAAGCGCCCGCGCCTCGCCGTACGCCGCCGCCTCCTACCTGCTGCACTCACGCGCCATGCATGTAGGTGTTTGACAACGACGAGTGGAAGACGCTGCTGCTCGTGGCCGACCCGGCGAAGCGACTACACGGCATGAACGCACTCATCGACCGGCAGTTCAGGCTCCTCACGGGCGTCTACCTCCAGTGCGGGCTCCTCGAGATGCACGCGGGCGATGTCCACCGACTCAACGTCTGCTCGTCCATGGAGAACAAAAACCTCCTCGGCGAAAGCGTCCGCTTTGCGCGCAAGTCGGTGCCCCACCACATCTTGGCCGAGGCCGCGTGGAACGTCTCGCTCGGCAAGGGCATCACGGAGAAGTGGTGCAAGAACTACAAGACGCTCCAAGTCCTCGACGCCAACACGGTCTACGTCGAGTACGTCCCCAAGCACGTCCTCGCCGACGTATCGGGGACGGTCGCCGCGCGGTACCTCTACCGGCGCTACATTGAGCCGAGTCGCGTCGTCATTGTGTGGAAGTCGGTCCTTGAAGACGAGCTTCTCCCGCTGGATGAGAACGTCATGCGCGTCCACCAGAGCGGCTGGATGGTCATCGAGGCCGACGCCAAGAACCCGACCCAGTCCCTCTACAAGCTATTTATTCAGCGCCACTCGCCGACGCGCGCGGGCAAGCTCCTCCACCTCAACGACATCTTCCAGTACATCATGCCCAACATCTCGCTCGAGCACCGGACAACCACCTTTGTCACGACGTTCATCGAAGACTCGTTCCGGGCCGTCGAGGTTGCATTCGAAAAGGCCGTCGACGTGGCTGTCCAAAAGCAAAAGAGCCGCGTCGCGTACCTCCTCTCGGACGCCGCGTAAGGCTATATTAGGTCTAGGGTTCTAACGCACGAGGCGGCAGTGTATCTTTGATGTGTTGCTCGACGTGCGCCCGCAGCAGCGACGCGACGTGCGCCTGCAGATCAAGCTCGGGCGTCGCGGCGGCCTTGCGCGCCAGTGGCTTGGCCAACGCGAGCGTCGTCGCCGCCGTCACCGACTCGGTCCACGGCGCGTCAGCTGCGAGTGCGAGGTCGGCGATATGGCGCCAGTAGGTGAAGAGCGCAATCACATAGGCATCCGCGACGTCGTACTTGAAGGAAGAGGGGGCCTCGGGTTCGATGAGCGTCGGCTCCATCGCCAGTGCAAAGGCTAACACGATGTGCTTGATCGCGTACTTCTTTGGCTTGGTCGCTGCGTCCTTGGGCTTGGCGAGGCGGAAGAGGGCGCGCGCTGTCGTCGGGTGCACGTGCTGCGGCCGCGACTTGAAGGTCGTATAGCACGAGTACGACACGAGGCCGTTGAGCTGTGCGAGCTGGAAGAGCCCTTTGGTGTGGAACCGACCGCCCGCGTACGTCTTTAGAAAGTCTTCAATGCCAACGACCCACGGCAGCGTTCCCGAAGCGCTATGCAGCCGCTGCAGCGTCGAAGCAATGTCGACGCCAATGTCCAGGATCTGGCTCTCGCTCGAGAGGTGCTTGGTAGACACATGCCCGGCGTCGGTGAGGCGACCTGCGCCACATGAGGCAAGCGATGGCTGCATGGGCGATCGTACCGCGCTCGTTGAGGACGACGTAGCCGGTCGTGTTGGTGTTGATGTCGAGGCCCAAGACGCGGAACGGCTTGGCGGTGGCCACCACGGACTGCAGGCGCTCGGCTATCCCATGCTTGAGCAGCAGCGCTTGTACGACCTTCATCGCTGGTCCAAGGTCAAGTGCAGCACCCCTTTTTGTCGACATCTTGGATAGAAACACGCCACTTGGATGTGCTTGGAGCACGCCCGCTGGGATTGTGAGCAGGCGTGCGGGCCATTCAAGAATCGACAGGGTCTAGCACTCCTGTGTACCTACTGGAGAGGCGATATGCGTCTGCATTCCTGCTCTTGAAACAATAGTGGCGAGGGTGCCAGGAAATAGTTGTGTTCTTTTAGACTCGTTAGATGCGGGTTCGCTTTGCAGCGGTCACTTGACCAGAAATAGGATGAAGTTTGTGAAGCTTGCGACCGGCGCCGAGATCCCAGCGATCGGCGTGGGCACCTACCGCCTGCGGGGCGCGGACGCCGAGCGCGTCGTCTACGACGCCGTTCGCCTGGGCTACCGCCACATTGATACGGCGGCGGTGTACCAGAATGAGACGTTTGTCGGCGCCGCGATCCGCCGCCTCATCGCCGAAGGCGTCGTCGCCCGCCACGAGCTCTTTGTGACGACCAAGGTTTCGCCGCGCTTCATGGGCTACGACAACACCAAGACGTGCGTGAGCCAGTGCCTTCGTGACTTGGGCCTCGACTATGTCGACCTCATGCTCGTGCACTGGCCAGGCACGCAAGGCATGCGCACGGACGATCCGCGCCAGAAGGAGAACCGCATCGGCACGCTCCGTGCGCTCAAGGAAGGGTTCGAAGCGGGGCATCTCAAGGCCGTAGGCGTCTCCAACTTCAACGTTGTCCACTTTGAGGGCATCGAAGAGTACCCGGTTCACGTCAACCAGTTTGAGTTCCACCCGCTGCTGTTCACGCCCGAGACGCAGGCGCTCCTGCACTACTGCGCCACGAGAGCGATCGTGGTCGAGGCGTACACATGCCTCGGTGAGGGTACGCTCCTGAACGCAACCGAGTTCCCCGAGGTCCACGACGTCGCGCAGAGCGCCGGGTGCACGATGGCGCAGGCGCTCATCGCCTGGGCGCTGCACCACGGCTGCGTCGTCATGCCCAAGGCCAGCTCGCCCGAGCGTCTCCGCGAGAACCTCGCCGCCGCCAGCGTCGCATTGACCAAGGCCCACGTCGCGAGCTTGGACGCGATCGTCGCCCGCGTCGGCCGTCGCAAGTTTTGCTGGGAGCCCAGCACGATCGCGTAGACAGATTGATATGCAATCTACACCGTCGTCCTCTAGTCGTGCAGCTCGGTCCGTGTCTATGGGCACGTGGATCGGACCAAGCAAGATCGCCGCTGCCATGTCCCACACCCCGTCCTGCACCTGGCGCCGGGACGGAGGACATGGGATACGAGTATCCAGTGTCTTGTGTGGGCAACGGCTGTGGGCTTCATACAAAAAGCAAATTTAGTTGCGTGCATTTAGCTATATCTGGAAACAGTGTCTCGCTCCAAACAGCTGGATGGCTTCGTCGTCGAGGGACAGGCTGCTGTTTTTATTTTATGCAATAGTAAACGCTAATTGACATTTAATTTGGAGAATAAATGATGAACCAGGAGGACCTGGCCTTAAGTGAGGGCTTTGTCGTGGGTCCCGAGAACCAGCGCTCCTCGGCAACGACTCTCCCATTCGCCCAGACGACCATGAACGCGGTCGAAGAAGACGCGCTCCTGCGCTTCCTCATGTCGGGGCAGGCCATGGCCGCGCCGCCGATGATGGACCTGCCGGCGCCAGCGACCTTGCCTGCGACCACGGCCACCAGCATCCAGCTCGATCTCGGCGACCTCATGGCTGGCCTTGGCGGCAACGACGACGCCGACGACATGACGTCCGAGCCGAGTGAGTGCTCGACGAGCGACAAGGACTCGACGAGTGGCACGTCGCCGCAACCGCCGAACCTCAAGCGCAAGCTGCAGCTGGCCGAGGCCTCGAAGAAGCACCGGCTGCGCCAGAAAGACGAGCTCTCGTATTTGCGCGAGAAGGTGACGAACCTCAACTCGCAGCTCTCCATGCTCAAGAAGATCAAGGAGCTCGAGGGCGAGCACGGCTCACAGTGGGAGCAGCTCGCCCGGTCCCAGTTCCTCGAGCGACAGAAGGCGTACCAGGAGAACGCCAAGCTCAAGTCGGCGCTCGAAGAGCAGCTCAAGTTTGCCGAGGCGCTGCAGTCGATGATCGCCAAGAAGCCCCGGCTCTCGTTTCCGTCGATGCTCGACAACGAAGAGTGGAAGCTCTCCAAGCTCGGGAAGGACCGCGATGGTCGGCGCCACGCCATGAAGATGATCATGGAGAAGCAGTACGAGCAGCTCGACGGCATCCTCGTGCGCACGGGCCTCTTTGACCCGAAGGACGAGATCAAGTCGTCCAAGATCAGCTGTCGCTCGGACGAAGAGACGATCTCGATCGACTTCATCCGCTTCCACACGCTGCCCTGGACGTACGACCTCGTTGCCGAAGCCACGTGGCAAGTGTGCACGACCAACATTGCCGACGAGATCAAGAACGTCGGCGACGTACGTCTCGCATCGTGATCCTCGGGCCCTCACCTCACCGTATTAGCTCCTCGAGGCGCTCGACGACAACACGCGCTACTGCGAGAAGATCATGTGCAAGCAAGGCCGCACCGAGTGCCCGTTCTTTGGCAAGTCGCGTGCCAACGTCATTGGCCAAGTGCTCTTCAAGCGCTTCTACGAGAAGGACCGCGTCGTGATTGTGTGGAAGGCCATCATGGAGGACGAGCTCTACCCGCGGGACCCGATGACGCTGCTGGCCAACCAACAAGCGTGGTGCGTCGATTCGATATCTCGATAGATTGATAGAATTGGCGCTAGGATCATTGTGCAAAAGGGCACGACGCCGGGCACGTGTCGCGTCAAGTCGTACATTGAGCGGCTACCGCCGTCGCGCGCGGGGAAGGAGGTCGCGCTGGACGACATGATGAAGTCGATGCACATCCCGAGCGACTATGGCCGACGGGAAAAGCCCATCGAGAACATTGGCGTCTGCGAAGCCTTTGCGCCCAAGCCCGGCATGATGACCGAGTACTGCATGAACTCGTTCCAGGAGATGGCCAACAAGCATGAAGAGGCCGTCGTTGCGCAGGCCAAGCGGCTCGCTGACCTCGAACGCGCCGAGACGACAGCGACCAGCGCGACGATTCTCTAGGCTCCTTGACGCTTTATATATCTATCTTCGCATGCGTGTGGCTACAAAGCGTCCACAATGTTTCGGGCTTAGTCGGCCTTGGCCGAGCGCTTGGGCGTCTTGGCCTTGGACGTGGCCAGCAAGGCCTCGCGGCGCGCGTTGTTGACGGTCTTGGGCTTGCCCTTGGCCTTGATGAGGAGGATGGGCACGAGGCCGAGGAGGCAGATAACGACGAGCGCGATCGTGTTGAGCGGCGTGTCCTCGTAGCTGTCGTGCGACGACTTGTACGCTTCGTCAAAGTTCCTACGAGGCTGCGTCAGCCCACCTCATCATCTCGGTGGACGTACTTGAAGCCTTGGTCGTCGGCGATGCCATACAAATCGTACTTTTCGCGGCGCTCGGGGTCCGACAAGACGCGGTAAGCTACATCGCCTTAGTCGTGCTGCAGCCAGAGGCATACCGAGTACCGTTGGCGATCTTGACAAAGTGCTTCTTGGCGTCCTCGCGGTCCTCGGGCGCCTGCTTGTCGGGATGGTACTTGAGCGAGAGCTTGCGGTAGCTACGTCTGCGTGAGACCATGCGCGACGACAAGGCGACTCGAGGTCGTACATGCGCTTGAGGTCCTGCGACGTGGCGCCGGAGCTGGCGCCGAGGAGCTCGTAGAGGTCTTCGGCGGACGCGGCGATCGCGAGCACGAGCAGCAGCAAGCACGTCCAGAGGAATCGCATGGCGTCTTTCTAGCAAATGGTCGCATACAAATCCCCAGTCATCTCTCGACCAATCAGACGTGACCGCGCGAGCCCAAGATCTGGCCAAGACGACGTCATGCGCTTGCAGCCCATCGGCCGAGACACGGCGTGGGACTCGCCGCGTGTATCTACTCGACGCCCTCGTGCGTCGAGAGACAGGGCCAGGAGGCGCCGGTTGCAGCGACACGGGCGCTGGGACGAGGCCGTTGCGATCTTATTGCGGTCTTATTGCGCGGCCACCAGCACCCAAGGACGTTGTGAACTTTCACAGGCCAGTGGAGTGGCTATTACAATAATTAACGGCATGCCTACGCGAGGACGCCGAGGCTCCAGGGCGGCAGCGCAAACGAGGCCGACGTGAGCGAGAGCGGCCGCGCCCGGTCGCGCTTCTACATCTCTCGACGGTGAGGACCGAGAATGCTACAGGAGGCGAGGCGTACGAGGCGGTCTGCAATCAACGCCGGGTTCGTCGCGGCCAATGGCACTTTGGCCTTGGAGACGTCGAGGATCAAGTCTGAGAGCACGTGCATGGACGCACGCTTCATAATCGTCACGTTCACGCCGTGCACTTGGCGCAGAATGGGCACTAGCAGCTGCACAAAGCCCGCGCTCACTTCGCTCGAGAGCTTGTCGAGCCGCAATGTCGGTGGGCCCTGTCGGCTCTCGCAGATCGCGCCCTGCAGCCACTCGGAGAGCGCTTTGCGCTGAGCCTTGTCGCGCGTCCAGTGCTCGAGCAGGCACTGAATGAGCGGCGAGTTCAGGTCACCTTAACCAAGAGAGAAGACACACGATCAGCATCGACGCCAGAGCCACAAGAAGCGGCGCCGCGGAGACCCGAGAAGCCACCCACGACGCACGAGAGAAGGACCCACCTGGAGGAGCGGGGTGCACACCGTGGTCCTGCACCCACTCGGCTTCATCCGACGAGGAGCTCTTTTGCGGCGCGTCCTGCGGGTTGCCAGCGCCAAGCGTGCGCACGTGGTGGTGGACGAGCTCGGTCAGGCGGTCGATCTCGGCCTGCGCGGCCTCGCAGCACTCCTGCGCCTCCTTCTGCATGACGACGGCCGTCATCCACTGCTGCTTGGTGTGCCGCAGCGTGTCAACGGTCACCTCTAGCCGTGCTTCAAGGTCCTCCACCTTGTCCCGCAGGAACGAGTCGCACTCGACCGGCGGCGGCGGCGGCAACGCCTCGACCGCTGCCAGCTGCTGCTTGAGCGACGCGATCTCGTCTTTGAGCGCCAAGTTGACCTGGACGACGTCGTCGTGGAGCGAGTGTGGGCCGTGCATGTCCGAGGTGAAGGGCGCGGTCGGCGCGCCCTCGGCCTCGTCGTCGGTCAGCGCGCACGAGCACTCGATCGAGAACGGTCGCGCGTCGGCGATTTTCTGTGTCACTGACTGAGAACAAGAAGGTGGCAAAGACAGGGTGATAGGTAGTAGTACCTTGTACGTCTGGACCATCGCGCGGAGACTCTCAATCAAGAGGCGCTCCTCGTCCTGCTCCTCCTTTAGCAGTCGCTTCTCGCGTTGGACTTGGAGCACTTGGTGCTCGAGGTTCTTGATCTGGACCTCCATCGTCCGCGCCCGCGCCCGCTCGTGGTGGAGCGAGGTCAACTCTTCGTGCGCCCGGCGCAGCTGCGCGTGCAGCTCCGCGTTCTCCGAGCACACGTCGTCGTAGACGTCCATTTCGATCATGTGGGCCTGCGGCGCCTCGTTGCAGACGGACGAGATCGAGCAGGACGACGGCACGTAGTAGCTGCCGTCGTCGCTCTGGTTCTCGGCCGCGCTGTCCTGTGTCGTCGAGGAGCCGCCGCTGAGCTTGGCGTGGTGCAGGTCGGTGCGGAGCTGGTGGATCGTGTCCTGGAGCTCGTCATGTATCCTCTCCCACTCGGCGTGCTCGTGGAGGATCTGGGTTTTGAGCTGCTTGATGTCCCGGTGCGCCTCCTGGACTTCGAGCACGGCTTCTTTGCGCTGGTCGCGGAGCACCTCGACCTCGATCTCAAGCTCGCGGTACTGGTGCTGGTAGCGCAGCACGTCGGTGTTGAGTGCGTCGATCGAGTACTCGAGCTCGGCGTTCTTCTCGAGCAAGAGCATGCCGGCGCGCGCGGCCATGCGCAGCTCATCTTCGCCTACGCTTCGTATCGCGCCTGCCGCCATAGAGTCGCTCGTACCGTCGTGGTCGCTCCCGTCAAACTCCTTGTAGCTGCGCTCCGAGTCGGTCGCGACGTAGCGGGACATGGCTCGTCGGGCAAAAAAAGGCAGATTGACACACGCCTCTTGGCTCGCGCCTTTGCGATCCGGATCGTATCCGGAAACTGGCCCACCCAGCTTGTCTATGACCACGCCCACTCTTGTTCCATCGAAGAATCGCTGCGCCATACAAAGCGCAAAAGAACCGACGACGCGATGCGTCGAATATTGGGCACCGCGTGGTTGAAGCACAAAGCATATATCATTTTTAATTAATTATCTCGGCTCTTCCACGTATTTTTTTTCACTTGTCAGTGCGAGGACAAGCGACGACGGCCTCGGTGGCAGAAAAGCCGCGCGCTCGTACTTGCTTTCTAGCCAGTCGCTTCCTCGATCTGTCGACAGAGTCTCTCGCCCTGTACACTGTACGAGAGTGGCATCAAGTAGCCGACCAAATGCAACGGCACCAACTTGAGCGGTGACGACGGCGACCGACCGCTCTCCGAGACGAGCTCGCGGCCAAGATTTTGGAGGTGGAGCGCGGCTGGCCAACTGCGCAACGCGGCGACGTCATTGACACGTCACGTGAGGTGTACGCGGCCCACTTCTCTGCGTCGGCCATGCATTACGCACCTTGGTCGTTGGTAAACGTTTTTATAAGCTTGTGGTTTGTATACTATACTAAATCGCTTACAAGTGCACCCAGATCGCGAAGGGGCGCTAAGAAAACGATAAGATTCGATTCGAAAAACGAGCAATCGCAATGGCCTTTTTCTTTCGGCCATGTCATGCGAGGTCACTTTTGCAGACGACCGCTGGAGAGCATGCGCCGTACGCTGCTCGCGGTCCTTCTCCTCGTTGCGTCGGCGTCGGCCAGCATCTTCTCGGGCTTCAACATTGGCCGCGAGTTTTCGTACATTGGCAAGTTTTGCTTTGGCTTTGACGAGGACTTTACCAAGACGGTGGGCGTCATCCAAGGCCGTATCCGCACGCCGGACGACGGCGTCCAGCTCGCCATCTACGACGACGAAGCGATGTTTTGGCAGTACGTTATGGGCCACGACGACGCAACGTGTGACTGTGAATGCAAGCTCTCGGCAGCACACACCAAGTACGTCTTCAACGTCAGCCGCGCGACCGACAACCTCCACGCGTTCCAGTTCAACTTTTCCCTCGAAGAACACTTGCGGCCGCGCTTTTGGTACGTGGCGCTCGCCAAGTGCGTGCCGGGTGGCGCCGCGTACACGCCTTCGTTTTTGAAAATGTCGCCGTCGGACTTTCTCAAGTACTACTTCACCGCGTGGTACTACCTGCACTTCACCCAAGGCGACGGCAGCGAGGTGCCCGTGTACCAAGAGGACCTCGACATGGTCTACATGGCCTTTGCCGTCCTCTCGGGCATCGCGCTCGCCTTGCAGATGACGGCCGCGCGTCAACTGCACCGGTCGGAAGCCTTCCACCCGATCATCCAGCTCGTCACGACGATCGCAACGGTCTTTTTCTCTGCGAACGCCATGCTCGCGCTGCACTTCGCAGCGTTCAAATGGAACGGGTTTGGGATCCCGCTTCTCCTCGGGCTCGGCCGCGTCTGCCAAGCGCTCCTGCACGTACTGACGCTTCTCCTCGCGATGCTCATTGCGAAGGGCTGGACCATCAACTCGATCACGCTCGAAGGCCGGTCCAAGCTCACGACCGTCATGGTGCTGCTCCTCGTCTTGTACGTCTCCCTCGCCATGTGGTACCTCATTGGGTTGGACCCGGCCTCGACCCTCTACCTCTACGACTCGTGGCCCGGTACGCGTGCGCTCTCTCCATGGCGTCTGACGCGGTGTAGGCCTCGGCATTTGCGCGCTGCACTGCTTTGTGCTCGTGTGGTTCCTCTCGACGCTTTCGCAGACGCGCCAAAAGGAAGACGTGCTCGAGAAGCGCGCCTTCTTCACACAGGTACAAAGGTTGCTCACTGAAGCTCAGGGGTGATTGAGGTGGATAGATGGGTGTCTTGTTTGCCATCTACGTGCTCTCGGTGCCCTTTATGGTCGCATTGGCCTCGCTTCTCTCGCCGTGGGTCCGCGAAAAGGTCCCATTCCAAGCTGTGGTGGCCAAGGACTGACTGGCGCGTAGATTGTCGACTCGGTCACGGTGGGGATTGAGTTTGTCACGTACTCGATTTTGATCTTCCTCCTCTGGCCGTCCCGCGCCCCCAAGTATTTTGAGGTAGCTCCATTCTGTTTGGACGCCTCGTCTCAACGGTGGATCTAGCGCCTCTACTCGCTCTGCGGCACGAGCGCCGAAAAGACCAACCTTCGCGACGCGTCTTTGCCAACCGATGTCTTGTAAAGGGTTAAGAAAACACTCGTCTACACCCGGCTGTCGTGCTTGTCTGTGGGCGGCGTCATGGAGCGGCCGTACGTGTCGCGGTCCGTCGTCGGCTCTTCGGGCGGCGGCGCCGGCGCTTCCGGCTTGTGGAAGCGGCAACTGATGAGCGAAAAGAAGAAGCACACGGCCGCGGCGATCGCGAGGTAGAAGGACGGCCCGAAGTAGCTGTTGGTCGGACGCTGCTGGGTCCAAAGCACAAACGCCAGCACCGCGCTCAGAAATGCGAGCCCAACCAAGCACTGCGACGCCGTGTCGACGTGTGGGCGTCGGGTGGCGCAGCAGCAGAGAAAGGCCAGCGCGAGCAAGGCGAGGGCACCAGCGATCGGCGCCAAGTAGGCAAAAACGAGCGTTGCACGCCCGAGATGCCCGCACGACGACTGCAAAAAAGCTGGGAACGTCGGGTCGGCCGTGCGCCGCTCAATGGACGCGACGAGGTCGCCGTGCGGCGCCGAGCAGAGCGGGTCGTTGTGCGCCTCAACCATCTCGCCGTTGGGGAGCAGCAAGCCGCCGCGCGACGCGTGGTAAAAGGAAAAACACGTCGCCGCCGACATGGACGTAGCGTTCGAGAGGATATGCACCTCGGTGCAGACGCCCCAGACGCCGGCAGTCATGCGGGCGCGTAGCGTCGCCGCCGAGAGCGTCACGCTCGGCGGGTTGCTCATCGACCAGAGCGGCAAGCCGACTGCAATGGCGGCGCAGATGACGCCCAAGAGGCACCACGTCACGTAGCAAAAGCGCACAGGACACATGAAGGCAAAAGCACTTTTGTGTCAAAACTCATCAGCTATGTTCAAAATCCAGTTAGCGCGAAAAGACTAGAGCGCGCGGGTCCACGACCCGACCTCGCGCCCTATCGCAGAGAGCGCAATCGCAACGCAGTCGTGGGCCGGGCCCATGCCCGAGAGCTCGGAGCAGAAGGCGGTCGCAGCATCTCGGTACGGCTCGTCCGCGTACAGCGCCAGCGCGAGGGTTTGATTGGCGATCGCGAGCGGGATGTGGGCCACGAGGCTCGGCGAAGGCTCCCAATACAGAGGCCCTGCCTGCGTCCAGCCGTGGTACTGCCGCAGCAAGAGGTCTCTACAGTCGACGTCGTCAGCGGCCATGACCCTGCACCAGTGAGCGATCGCGTCGTTCGCGCGATGGGGGTCCATTGAAGCATCCAGATAAAAGTATCGCGTCGCAGCGGTCGCGAGGCGAAACGAGAGTCGAATGAGCATGCCAGCGTCGCTGCCGACCACGCTCGGCACGTACGCCGTGGGTTCGTCGTCGTCTTCATCGAGCGCGAGAGTATGGAAGACGGCTTGGACGGTGTTGACGAAGCTCTCTGCGCACCTTGGTGCGTCGGCGGCGGCGTGGGCGCATGCAGCGTCCTGGGCACGTTGTACGTTGGCATGTCCGATGTGCCAGTGCTGTGGCTCGCGCGCAAACGTCCCTGCGTGGAGGCAGCCGATCGTGACACCAATGTCAACGCCGAGCTGGCAGGCTTCGCGGCTCGCTACTGTGGCTGCGCTTGCGTAGCAAAGAGCGTCAGCTTGAACTGCGTCGCGCATGCGAGCCTCGCAGGCCGAGCGTCCGGCGTCTGCGAGCGCGAAGTCAAGCGCGGCCGCCACAAGCCATGGCCACCGCATGTTGCGTTTCTCGTGGCGAGGTCGCGATCTATGTTATAACAATCCGCGACGTGCAATAACTTGTTACATATGCTGTTAGATCGATATTGGGCGCCAGCTGGCGAGCTTGAATGGGTTCTGGTCTTCTCAACCAAGTGCTGCGCTTCACGTACACAACATTGGAGGACGGTTGTGACTAGGAGCGTGGCAGTTGTAGCAAAATAAGATTATATAAGAATATACAGACACTACACTCACCTCGTCTAGATCGAGCTACACATCTAGTTCTACATCGATCTAGAGCTGGAGAAAGAGCACGCTGGGCGAGCTCAGATCCTCGTCGATCGCGTACATTTGAACGAGCGGCGCAATGGAGAAGCAAACCGAGCCGACGATGAACTGACTCGCGGCAAAGGCGAGGTTGACGCGGGCGACGTCGGCGTCTTGACAAGCAACAAACTGCGGGAGGTACGAGTACGCACCGACAATAAAGAATATGTTACCGACGAGGTTGAGCAGCGACACGAGGTACCACGGACTGAGAATCTGCGACCAGCGCCGACGCACGGGCGTGCTGCTCGCGTGCGAGTACGTGGCGAGGCGCGCAACGTCGACGGCGATCGCACTGCAGAACGTGAGGCAGCCCGAGATGAAGAGCCACGAGCCGTACGTGGGCGCAATCGCAAAGTAGTTTGGCAAGTAGTAGACGCCGCCGACGACAAACTGGACAGAGCCGAGCACGTTGCAGCCGCTGGCGGCGACTGGCGCGAAGCGCAGCAAGCCCGGCGGGCCGTCGACGTGTTCGATGCGCGCTTCGTAGCTGTCGATGCAGCTGCCGCACAAGAAGGCGAGGCAGCCGAGCAAGTAGCAGTACGCGCCGACCCAGCTGTCGCCGGGCGCGGAGCCGGCGCGCGGGTAGAAGAAGAAGGACCCGAGGAGGAAGGCGAGGCCGCCGACCCAGTACGAGACGCTCGAGGTCTCGAGCGCAAAGAAGACGAGCTTGCGGCGCCAGCTCATGGCCTCGCCGTTGGCCTTGGCGAGCACGCGCGTGTAAGGCGACGCCGGCGTGAGGACCTCGTGGCGGGCGAGCATCTTGGCAACTGTCAACCCCGCAGAGACCTCGTCAAGCTACCGCTGCCAGATGGTTCTGAAACGACGTGGGATTTGCACGTGAAAATTGATGCGTGGGAAACCCACGGAGAATTCCACCGCACGTGGTGGGATATGTCCGTGTGAATTAGTGGGAAATGGCCCGGCGTGATCGATCAACCACACGTCAGAGCATCCCATGCAATCGGGGGCTCAGATATGTCGGTGGTATGTTGCCTTTCTAATAACATTTAGGGACATTGCTAAAATATATAACATCGGTCTGTTGCCTTGTTGCCGACAAGTCGACAGGTCGCCGGCTCTGCAAGTGTTTGCGGGGATGTTGACGTGCCAGCACAAAGTTGGGTGTACGCAGACATCCGCCAACGGAATGTGGCTAGCGGTAAAACGGCGAGGCAATCGACTGTGAATAGTAAATGATCTGCTCAACGACCGTTCGTTCTAAGACAGTCGACTACGTGGAGGTCAGTGGCCAGCGCGAGCTCGCTGGTCCCTCACTTGCTTGGCGGTGGTCCGGCGATAGTCTAAGCGCACGCAACCTGCCATCCACACCAGTCCCACGTTGTTGGTAGACGTCTTGTGCGTCGGATTGTCAGAATTGAATTCACCATGCTCATCTACCTCGTACGGCGCAGCGACCTTGCGGCGGGCCTCATACCGTCTTCTAGCTGCACCTCGCCGCCTTGGTTGCTGCTGCGGACGCATGCGCTTATGGCGCCTTTGACGCCACCGCCACGTTCGTCGGTTGCCCCGCCGACATCAAGCCGCAGGTTCTCTACTGCATCGTCGACAGCCGCTGCAAGGTGCGCTTTTAATCCACGGCGCGCCACGACAACGCATGCGCGTAGCTCCTCAAGACGTACAATGCGAGCGCGCTGAGTCTCAGCGCCAGCTTGGATCCAGCCACCCCGGCACGCTACCAGCTCACCGTGTCTTGTACCTTCAAAGCCACATCTGGCTCCTGTTGACGGGCGCGGTAGATCCCATCCAGCGTGTGGCTGACGAGCCCGGCGTCAAGATCGACTTTCAACTGTAGTGGCCATCATAGTGGCTGGAGGCGGGTCATTTTGGCTCTAGGCGCTTTGAGAACGCCTCGATTCAGCAGATCGACGACCTCTCGGCCGTCAACAACCTCAAGACTCTGTACGCTGCACTTTTGACCAGCTCACACTGAATGCGTCATGTACGCGCAGGTATATCTACAACAACAACAAGGCGGCGTTGGACATTGCCCACACCAAGCTGCCAACGAGCCTCCACGAGCTGTACCCACCCTCCTCCAGTACAAAACGAGTGACATTCTTGCGTAGGACGCTATGTGGTACGCAGCTCCAGGCGCTTCCGGACGCAGCGCGGTTGACGGGGCTGACCTACCTGTGCACATTTACCCTCCGATGTAGTACTGACGCACCAAACGTTAGAAATGTTTTCAACAACAACATCACACGCCTCGAGCACCTGGATCTGCGCAACGTCACGACCTTGTATGGCTGCTGCTCTTTCTCACATATCACGAATGCTTTGGCGCTCTAGCTCTGCCGGACTCAACCAAATCTCGACGTTCGTCAACGTCTCGCTGGGTGGCGGTCTCGCCTACTTGTACCTTCCAAAGTCAATGGCTTGCCTCATTCGCGGATATAGCGATTTGACCAACAACCGAATCACGGAATTTGTTGTGGACCCGGCGACGTACGACGCGCTTCGGCAGACGAAGACGCTGTCGTTGGACGCGATCGACGTCTCCAGTACGTGCAAGTCGCCCAACAAGGTCCTTCCCCTCAACAATCACGCCAACGTGTGTGTGACTCCGGGTACCATCCTATCAAAAAATACCTTCTTTGGTATTGAAAAGAACTAGACTCGATGCTGGCAAGCGCCACAGAGAATTCGACGGCCTTGGGCGGAGCTGCGGTCGCCGGGATTGTCGTCGGCGCTGTTGTGCTCCTCGGACTTTCGCTCGCCCTACTCGTCCAGTGGCGTCGTCGCCTCGCGTCATCGTTGTTACGACGTTGCGACTGCCCCAACGCTCATGCGTTGTCGTAGGTCCAAGGAGAGTGCACTCGACAAGACTGAGAGGACGGACTCGGAGCACATCGTTTTCAACCTTGACGTACGTCGACTACGCCCAATAGGATATGATACAGCGGTGTAGAGCCTTGCGCTGCTGCGACTCGACCACCAGTCGCTCGAAGCGACCAAGTTTGTCGCAGAAGGCGCGTACGGGCAAGTGTGGCTCGGCACTTATGAAGGTTGTTCCGGGCTATAAAACTCAGAAATCACTCGATTGCGCGTAGGAACCCCCGTGGCGCTCAAGCGTCTGCTGCCGGGAGCCGCGTCGCAGTCGGCGATTGCCTCGTTCGTGGACGAGATTCTCTTGGCCAGCAAGTACGCGTTCATTTTCTCTGAAAAAATTGCATCTCGCATTAGGCTCGAAAGTCGGTACATTGTTCAGCTCATCGGTGCGAGCTGGCGCATCCCCGCCGAGCTGCAGATGGTGCTCGAGTGGATGGACGGAGGCGACCTCCGCTCCGTCCTCGAGGCCACCGACAACACGTCATTCCCGTGGCTCGAGAAGGTCCAGCTCATGCTCTCGGTCGCGGAGGGCCTCGTGTACCTCCACTCGATGTTTGTGATCCACCGCGACCTCAAGTCCCGAAACGTTCTCGTTGATACCGCCAAAGTACTACGGCCAATACGACTCGCCATTTCACATTCGACTAGGGCGCCAAGCTCACCGACTTTGGCGTCTCCAAGGAGATGACGACCGAGACCATGACGGTCGGCGTCGGCACATACCGCTGGATGGTCCAGATCCTGTCATTTCAACTAGGATTTAGAAAGGGTGTGCGTGTAGGCGCCCGAGGTGCTCCAGGAAAACCACTACACGACGAGCGCCGACGTCTACTCGTTCGGCATTCTCCTCTCGGAGCTCTGCACCCACCACATCCCGTACACAGATATGCACACGGAGCGCGGTACAGGACACATGGGAAGGTACCATCGTGACGCTACTTAGGCAACCCGCTTGTCGATACGGCGATCATCAACCGTGTGATCCAAGGCACGCTCCAACCGACCTTTGGCGAGTCCAGTCCTGCGTGGGTCGTCGGGCTCGCAAACGACTGCATCGCGTTAAATGCTGACGACCGACCGAATGCGATCCAAGTTGCCCACCGCATTCGTCAAAAGACTCGGGAATGAATCGTGCGATTGCACCGGCCTATTTAGACCTTCTTCATGGCGATTGCCGTCATAACACCAGTTTTGGCTTTCGAACGTGAGATCGCGGCATACAATCCACGCATGTGGCTTGGATATCCAACATTCGGAAACTATTGATTTGATAGACGGTTATCGGTTGATCGTCCATTGCTCGACACAAAACGTGGCGTCTAGAACCAGCCGCCGCAACGGAACGGCGAAAAGAGACCGCAGCCGCCGCCAAGACCCCATCCAAAGCCAAAACCGCCGCAGATCGACCCAAAGCACTCCTTCTGGCCGCC